TGCAAAATGTATGTATGCAAAAAGGTATTAATCCCAAAAAGTTAACTGTCATAGAATAACTTTCATCGGCATACAAAAGTTTCTTTATAATAGTTCATAACTACAGATAAGGCGTAGCTTTCCTATTAAGCTCTATAATTTCTTTCATTAACCATGACACCTTCTTTCCGAACTTAGAAACTGGATCAACGTGATGCTCAATTATTTTAACTTCAACAGCTAGTTCCCCAACATATCTAGCAACTTCGCTCATTTGTACCATGGCCTCGAATACCATATTACTTCTTTCTTCACTTCTTTCTACATAGAAATCAGTTGACTTCTGCCATTGTTCATTAGTTCCTTCAAGAGTTTGCTCCAACTCAGTGATTCTGACTTGATAATTGTGTAGAGTTTTTTCAAGATCTCTAATGCGTCTTCGCAGTGAAGCACTTTCCTCATTACTTTCTTTGAGATCATTAGGTCCTAGACGGACCTTTTCTTGAAATAATGACTCTTCAAGTTGCAAAATGTAAATGTTAAACTCTGAGTTTTTGTTTCTAGACTGATCCAGATCTTCTTCCAGTTTTGTTCGTGCTTCTTGCGTTCTTTGATTAAGCTTCTGGATTTGAACATTCTTGTTTCTGCATCTTTGCATCCAATTACTAGCCATTTCTTGCTCTACCTCAAGTTTGGTGTTGAAATTCTTTCTTTCCAGCTCCCATTTTTCTTTTTCAATATTGAACTCTTCAATCTTTTGGCCTCTGACTTCAAGTTCGGCAATCAGCTGGTTCATTTCAGATTCAAATCCCTTGAACATGATATTTTTCTCACCCTCAAATTTATCAAAGATGTCATTCTTCATTTCCTCTAAATCTTTGGCTCGATCCCTTTCTCTTTGCATTTCATTCATGATCTTGCGATGTTCAGCTTTGTGTTTTATAATTCGCTCTCTTCTATCAACCTCAAAATCTTCCATTTTTTGCTTTCCTTTCTCAAGGCTTTTGAGTAGACGGCTATTCTTTCCTTTCAGATCTTCAACTCGACTTTTCTCGATGTTCAATTCTCTGGTCATCTGTACTGTTGATCGGCTTGGTCCTGATGCTTTCCAGGATTTATATAACTTCTGCTAATTTTTCTTTAATGCTCTGAATTCACCATCAACTTTTTCTTTGTTTTCTCTCAACATTGCACATTGTGATGAATGAAAGTCAATGTCAACACCCAACATAGCTTTATCTCGTCTCATTTCCTCTAATTCTCTTGACCAATCTTCCCTTTTTGCTTCAAACTCAGCTCTCAGGATTTCAATCTCTGATGGAACCACCTTAATGCGATCTTCCATAGAGATATCCTCAGTTTGGTCTGGTAGAGGAATATTTTCATTTTTCCTGAAAGATCTCCATTCCTCATAACCAGGAGTTAACATTTCTTTTGCTGCTTTAGCTCGGATACAAAAAGTTGTTTTCCAAGCTGTAAAGGCTTCCATGATATTTCTTTTATAATTTTTGCTGTGGAATGCGAACTCAGATGAATGTAATCCAGCAGTGGCGGGTACAAATTGACGACCTTCATACTGTCTTATGACCAGAAGTGGTGCATATCCAATTCCTCCCCACAATCCAAGCAGCATTATCCAGTTGTAATCACCATATTTGTAAAAGAATTCCCTTTGGATTTGCCACGGGGCTCGCCAAACAATGTCATTACTTTGTAAATTTCGAAAGGCATTAATCCACATATCTTTCTTCATTTCTTTCGGCCATTCTTGCTCCAGAAATTCTTTTAATGGTGAATAATCCGTATTAAAGCGCCGGTATGAAACCTTTTCTGTCCTCCATAAATGGCTACGGATCCAAACATATAACAATTGGGTACACCCTGAGAATCGTCCACCTCCTAGCTTTCTACAAGCATTTAACGATCTGAAAGTCTCTGCTAGAATTGCATAAGCAGGATTAATCTTTTTTGGTAGCTGCTCAAACAAATCTACTACTGCAGCTTCAATATATCCCAATACTTTTGGGAAGATGACCATACCATACATACCCAGAGCAAATAGATCTAATCGTACTTTAGTATCTGGATGACTCTGAATAAGTTCTTTAATGTTGGTCCAAGCAATGCCTTCGCTTTCGCCCTTGTGTTTTGTACGGGATGCCACCCATTCTTCTCGTACCCCGGCAATCTTTGCTAATTTAACTCGAAAGGGTTGAGTTTTAATTGACTTTGAATAGATTCGATTCTCTAAAGCCCCTTCTATATGTAGCAAAGTTGTGTACTCTTCAATAGTAGGGACCAAGTCCTCCTTATTGAGAGTGAAGCAATTGTACTCGGGATTCCAGAATTGAATTAGGGCTCGAAGTAAGTCATCATCAACTTCGACATAGAGCAAATATGGGATGTCTCCATAAGTCTGATAAAATTGTAACTTTTTGTTTGAGTCCTAACTTTCCCAAATGCTTCGCAAATCTTGCATGTCATTTCTTTTTAGCGAAACTGGAGCATAACTGGCTAAGTCAGATATATAGTCATCTTGCAGACTGTCTCCTCCTTGTCTTTGTAAGTCCTCAGCCCATTGTCTTACTTCTGAGTTTAGAATTATTTGATTTGAACACTTTTTATCCATGGATGAAGGCTTTCCAATGAGACAATTAACACGAGGATCAATGCCTTTTATCCTGTATGATGCTATGCAAACAGAAGAAATAAAGAACACACAAAGAAATGAATTAATTTACATAATAAAGAAATTTAATAATAATATCTACCTAAATATCCTTATTTAAACATGTTTTTTTCATAATTTACATAATTTAAATTCACATGTAATTTAATCAGTAAAAAAATAAATAAATAAATTAAAAGGAAAGTTAGAATTCATTTCTCCTGTGTGTACACCTATTTTGGATAAAATTTCGGCATGGCTTCAGATCGGAAGAGTTTCTAGGGTTTATTATATGCAGTGTTTCAGATCTAAGAATAAAGGTACCCGAACTGTCCTTGTTGATGCCCCCTTGGGCTATCAAACCCTCAATCCTAGTCCATTACAGACTTTAAACGGATCGAGTTCAATTCGAGGGGACACATTTCTCTATGCCTGACACGGAGAATAAATTCTCACGAAGACATAGAGCATATGAACCCCGAAACTTACTTGCTAGGTCTGACACGGAGAATAAATTCTCACGAAGACGTCGCTTTCACTCCCACTTAAAAGGGACAAACTCAATTATAGAGCTTTATGTTATGCAATGCAAGTGTTGTGTGTGAGGAAAAATGTTCAAACCTCTGACAGAAAAAATAAATAATGAAATAAAATACTTGTAAATAAAATGAAATATAAATAAGAAAATATATAAATGCTATGAAAATAATAAGTATATATAAAAAATTTGAAAAGAAAGAATTATAAATCAAATATATGAATTTTTAATTTATAATTAATAGAGACAATTTATAATTGATTTTAAAAGTTTGACGGTCCCCAGCGGAGTCACCAAGCTGTCGTAACCGGTTTTTGTCCGGGCACGAATTTTTTACTTGGCGGGAAAAGTGATGTGAATAAATAGTTTTTAAAATAATTTGGGAGTCGCCATCGACCTTTTGGGTCAGGTAGGTCGAATACCTAAAAAATATATTTTAAAAGAGTTTTTAAGAAAGCATCAATTAAAAGATAAACTGATCTGCGTTTTAACCAAAAATTTGTTCTTTTTAATAATAAAAAGGGATTCGTGGTCGGTTACGTTTATGGAAGGTTTAGCACCCCTACAACGCCCAAAATTGGTACTTTTTAATTATAAATTGTCTCTATTATTAGAAATTCAAAAATTCAAAATATATTTAATTTATAATCCTATTATTTCAAAATTATAATTATCAGAAAAAAATCATTTATATATATTTATAAATAAAATATTTATTTATTTAGAAATATCAGAAAATGACTTCTAGGTGCCTTAAGACAGCTCTTTTCTTCGATATTAATAAATATTAATATAATAATTTAAATTAAATTATAATTTTTTATAATATTTAATTTTGAAATACCAGAATAGGACATCCAGTTGTATTAAGACTGCCCTTTTCTTCGATATTGAAAAATAAATAAATAAATATGATAAAAATAATTTATGTAAAATAAATAAATTATTATTTATTATATATATATTTATATGACTATATAAAATAATAAAAATAATATTTAAATATATAAACAAGTAAATTAAAAATAAAAATACAATTAGAACAATATATTTAAAAGCAGTAAAATAAATAAAAATATTTAAAATTAGTGACTAAATTATAATAAAATTAAAATTAAATACCTAATTCATAATTAATTATTTAAAATTATAGGGATTAAACATGCTATTTTCCTTATTTATTAATTTGGTGACTAAAATAAAATTATATAAAATTCGAATATCAGATTAAAATAAATACTCAGGATTAAAATATTATTTATTAAAACTAAAGGACTAAATACATATTTTATCTAAAATATTTATAATTACGGTTAAGGGCTAAAATATAAATAAATAAAATTTAGAGACCAAATTAAAAGGATTATAAATTTGATTTAGTGACTAAAATGTAAGAGTTACAAGTTAGGATGGCTGCGGAAAGGGTTTAACCATACATGTAAATTACGCATATACCCCTTCCCAAAACGACGTCGTTCGGGAAGGGATATATATAACCCTTCATAGCTGGCCCGAAGGGCCAGCAGCCTCATTCTTCATTTCTTCTTCTCTCTCAAAAACGAGAGAAGAAGAAGCTCTCTCGGTTCTCTCTAGCTTCCCTCATCGGAGGGAAGCCGGTTACCGGGCGGCAGCCGTCTGCCGCCGTAATCCCTGCCGTCGGCCACCGCCTTCGGTGGCCGGAAATTTTTTTTACACTAAAACGTAGATCGGACCGTCCTAATGACGGTTCCGATGGTCTTTTCTTTTAAATAGCTCCCGATCGGAGCAAATCTAAGAAAATACCTTCGGTTTTCGAAGGTTTTTGGTGACGTCTAGATGCTGGTGGTGACTCCGATCAAGGCGGTGGCTTCCACGGTAAGTTTCTCTCCTTCCTTTCCTTGCTGTTTTAGTGATTTGCTTTCTGTTTTTTTTCTCTGTTTTTGCTGGTTGTCCTCTGTTTTCTTTGCAGGTTGGGTGATGGCTTTATAGCCATCACCGGCGCTTGTCTCAGACCGGTCCTAAGGGTGGAGTTCGGTGAGTCACCGAGCTATGTGGTGACTCACCCCTAGAGCTTGCAACGTGGGCGGCGGGTGTTGAAGCAGCAAAGCTTCTGGAGTCTTCAACGAGGCGGCGGCGTCGTGGTTGAAGTGGGTTCGAGCATCTGGCAGCTGACCGTCGGCAACGGTCTCTGGCAACTGGAGAGGCGGCTGCGGCACTAGGGTTAGAAACCCTAGCTGAAACCCTAAATGTTTAGGATTTCAATTTGGTCTGGGACGGTTGATTGGGCCTTCGATTTTTGGGCTTGTAATTTTTATTATTATTATTTATATATATATATATTAATAATTATTATTATTATTATTATTATAATTATAATTATAATAATAATAAATAAATAAATAAAAATGGATAAAAAGTTAGTATCTTCAGGCGTATCAGAGTACATACAGCAGCTGCCCCTGTTGTTACTGGGGGAGATGTACCGCCAGGCTGACACTGGTGCTATTGTTTCTTTGTTTTCTAGATTAGGTAAACTTAACCAAAATCCCCTTTGCAAGAGATGCTATTTGTTTTGTGGATATTAGTTTCAGTGGATTCTTATATTTTCTAACCAACTGCGATTTTGCAGCAATTAAGAAAACTTTGACTAGTAAACTTGAAGATGCTAGAAATTCTTTGCAATTAAGGATCATAAAAGCACTCAGAGAATACCGCAATCTATATTCTGTGCAGCATCGGTTGGGAGCTAGGATGATTTATCCAGAGTCTCTAAAGTTCTTATGTTTGTATGGATTAGCACTCTTTAAATATGTACCTCTAAAAGGAGGATATGCGGATGTGCAGCTTGATGAACGCTGTGCAGCAGGTTTCACGATGATGGTATTACCTGTTAAAAAGTTATTGAAGCTTTTATATCCCAGCTTGATTCGAATTGATGAGTATCTTTTGAAGGTGGAAGATTTTAAACCTTCAAAATATTTCAAGAAGGATGTTGAGCATGCAAACTGAACATCACTTCTGTCTCATATTTGCAGCCATCTGCTCAAGCTGACAATTTCAAAAACATCATGAAGAGGTTGCCTTTGGTTGCAGAAAGCCTAGATTCAAGAGGCCTATATATATACGATGATGGTTTCCGCTTTGTTATTTGGTTTGGTAGAATGGTTTCGCCCGATATAGCTAAGAATTTACTCGGACCAGACTTTGGAGCCGAATTATCAAGGGTATGATCTCTTATTGATGAAGCTACGTTCATATAGTTTCATAATTGTTGAATATTATAGGTTTGTTCCGTTCAAGTGACCATTTATGTGTAAAGGAAGCTTGATATCATTGTTGGTATTCGGCATATACAAGATTTGCTTCAAATGCTGGCCTTGATAATGTTATTTGAATTTAATCCGCTTGACTGTTCCTATGACCTTGCCTTGGCATGGCCTGTGATAGTAGTATACTTAACTGGTTCTTCATGTTGTCTGTTTAAAATCAGGTGGCGCTTACCGAGCATGATAATGAAATGTCAAGAAGGCTGATGAAGATATTGAAGAAACTAAGAGAGAGTGCCCCTTCATATTATAAACTTCCTTAACTCGTAAGACAAGGTGAACAACCTAGGGAAGGTTTACTGCTTCTTGTTAATCTTATCGAGGACCAGATGGGTGGTACCACTGGCTATGCGGATTGGATAACGCTAATACACCGACTAGTCCAACAAAACTGATGATGTACAGGTAATTGTTTTAGAGGTTGGTACATTTGAACTTTAACTTTGCTCGTTTTGTTGGGGATAATTTTTAAATCTAGTTTTAGGTGGAGAAAAGATGTTTCTCTAGTTGGGTTATTTAGTACCCTTTGGTTTTGGTGTTAACTGTGTCTGAGTTGCATGCTTCCATTTTGTGTGTGGAATGTCCATTTTGTGTGTGGAATGTTTGAAATGCATCAAGATTTGCTTTTTGATTCCACAGATCTTTGTGGTATGTCGTAAATTCTTCTGCACCGGGTGGTTTCAATTGGAGTTGAACGGTTGGACCCGATTAGCTTGAAGGTTTGCAGGAAACAAATTTTTTGTTAATTACAAAATTCAGTAAGTAGGGAGAAAAAACCTGTGGTTCCAGTCTAGGTTGAGAATTTACGTTGAAAGCAAAGCATTGTTAAAATTATTGCCTTGCAAATTGTTGGTTTAGAAAAAAAAGGTGTGAACAGCTCATAAAAGTGTTTTAATATACATTGGGGTTTGGAATGTTAAATTTTATGTTTGTGATTGTAAAGACTTAAATCCAGATCAACAACTCTTAAGTTCGGTCATAAAAATCTTCCAGTGCTTTCATATAAATTCAACTCTAATATCCAAATCGATTCAATATTGGGATTCTTTTTTCCTACAAAACTTTTTTTAGTGTTTTTAGAATTTTCTTTAAAGATTTATCATATTTTAATTATTACTTCGTTATCTAGATGATCGTCTTACTGCTCAGACTATTGAATAAAAAAAGCTAATTAAATTGGTTTTGATAAGAATTTCTTACAACAACTATCATAACCATTTTTTTTATAAAACAATTAAATATTATTTTTAAAAAACAGTTATGACTTTATTTGAAAATTAGTGATTTAGAATTGATTAGGATTAAATGGAAAGGGAGTCGCCATTATCTTTAGGTTAGGTAGGCCGAATACCTAAAAACGTATTTTTAAAACAATTTTAAGGAAAAATCGTTTTAAAGACAAAAGCTTGTATGCGTATACAAAAAATCTAATTTAATGGGTCTGGGAGTCGGTTACGCGTGGGGAAGGATTAACACCCCCACAGCGCCCAAAATTGATACTGTGTCGCTTACACTTTTTCGTAAATGGTGGAAATCATGAATCGAATATAAAGTTAAAATATGATCTATTTATTGATTTTAATTAATTGTTTCGAAATAATTATTAGGAAAAATTCTTTAACTTGAAAAGAAATCTCGAGATTAGTTATCCTCCATCGGGAAAGCTATTTCGACTATTTCTTATCCGTAAATAATATTCCCTCTTCGATAAAACGCGAATCGAATATAAATTGAAAATCGACATTTGAGTCAAATGAAATAAATTGCTATTTAGAAACATGCATTGCATTGTTCAACTTAAAATGAAAAGAATTAATTAACAAAATAAAATTAATTTTATTTCAAGTTCATATTTGTTCAAATGCCATATCGGATTACACCACTTCAATCAAGCAATGTTTTTCACGCCCATTCTACAAATCGTTGTTCTTGAAAATATTCAAATAAAATTTAGTTAATAAATAAGCATTTATAATAACTAACAAATATATACATAAATATGTAAGGTTAAAAATTAACATCATATATACTCTTGCATACATATTAGGGACATAAGTGATAATTTACAAACAATGATGAATTAGAATACAAATAAAAACCAATCTTAAATATTAAATAAGACTAAATAGAAAGAACAACAAATTTTAGAGGTATAATAATAAACATATAACAAGTCATGGCTAATATACAAATATCACATAACATGAGTATTAAAACAGAATAAAATTAAATTACAGACCCTATTGTGTAATAATTACATGACTATAACTTAATATAGTCAAAACATAGGGGATTAAACTGGGAATAAAATCAAAGATATCTCCAAGTCAAAGTTAGTGATTAAAACAAAAGAAAGAGAAAGTAAAATGCCAAAATTAAAATAAATAAATCAGGGAATTTAACATGTTAGTAACTAAATTACAAAAAATGTAAAAACATGATCTCAGAATCAAATGATAAAATAAATAAGGAAATGGTGGCTAAATTAAAATAAATGCAAATAAAATAAAATAAATAAAATAAAATAAAATAAACATAGAAATGACCAAAATAAAATAAAACATAATATGGAGCTAAAATCCAAAACAAACAATAAAAACTAAATCTAGTGACTTAAATGTAAAAATACGCTAAACATATAGGGACTAAATTGAAAATAACCCTAAAAATATATAACAAGCATAAAATAGGAAAATCACAAAAAAGTTCCTACAGGTGACTAACATGCAAAAAACGCTAAAAGTAAAGGGACTAAAATAACATTAAACCAAAAATATATAACATGCATAAGAAATTGATAAATTACAAAAACATTCCCTTCAGGTGATCGTTTTGCAAAAACAAGCTGAACTTTTCTTTTTTTAATTTCATTTCATTTTAAAAAAAAAAATTTAGAGAGAGGGTCTCTCTTCTCTCTAGGAAACCGATGGGTGGCCGGCCACTCACCTTCGCCGGTCGTCGTACCGGTAGCCGCCGTGCTACTGTCGTCGTCGGTGGCTGTTGGCCACCAAATTACATTGGGAGGTTTGTCTTGACCTCCTCGTCTTCGATCAGGCCTCCGTTTTACGAGAATCAATACCATTTTTTGTAAAAAGGGAGAAAATTATTCAGGTTTCCCAGGCTCTGATCGTCGTCGTCCGTCGTTGAATCGGGTTGATTTTCATATATGTCATTCTTCATCATCTCTTCAGCATCTTCACCATTCAAATCGTCGAGATGAGGACCCGAGCGCCAGCGAAGCTCCGACCTAATGGGTGAGAATTCCTTCTCTCTTTTGTTTTTATTTTCGATTTGGTTGTTTGTTGCTTAAGAAAGGAAAGGAAAAAATATTTTCTAAACTATTTTTTATTGATGATAAATATTGTTGGTTACATTTTGTTTTTTCAAGTTATATACCCTTACAAAAAAAATCAAATAGCAACATGTTTGGTTGATTTCCTCACGTTCGGTAGTGCCAGAGTATGGTCACTGATGGTGGCTGGTAGGGCATGGTAGAGATGACAAGGGATGGAAACAACAGCTGTTGCAGGCAGTAGGTGAATCGTAGGGCCGGTTCGGGTTGGATCTGGGTATTGGGCTTGAACCGGGTCGGATCAGATCTCGGGTATGCTGTAATCTAGTTTTGGGTTGGGGCTTGCTTGTAGTTGGGCTGAAAAAACAATATAATTAAAATAATTAATAATAATAATAATAACAATAATTATTAATAAATAATATTTGTGACCCGAACAAAAACTGATGTATACAGTTGCCCCTCTTTGCACATTCTTGTGTTAACAAGAATAGGGCAAAGACAAAAAAGATAACTAGTTTTTATTCGGTTCTCTTTTTTTTGGTTTTGAAAATTTGATATACTTGTTATTGGGGATGACCCTACTCATACGTGATGAAGAGTTCTAGTCGTCTAAGGGTGACACGGTTCCTATGTGATGAGGAGATCTGGTCAGGGGATGACACGGTTCCTACGCGATGAAGAAGGGAGGCTATCTTTAGGGATGGTGATAACACGATTCCTACGCGATGAGGACGGCTGGTTATCTAGGGGTGACACGGCTCCTAAGTGATGAGGAGGTCTGGTCGGTGGATGATACAGTTTCTACGTGATGAGGACGACATACCATCTTTAGGGATGATATCACGGCTCCTACGTTATGAGGACGACTGTTATCTAGGTTGACACGACTCCTACGTGATGAGGAGGTATAGTCAGGGGATGACACGGTTCCTATGTGATGAGGATAGTAGGTCATCTTTAGGGATTTGTTTCAAGTGAAACATACTCAAAGATGATGCTTCAAGAGAAGCTGTCTCAAGAGAGAAAATTCATTTCAAGGGAAACGATCTCAAAGATGGTTGTTTCAAAAGAAACTGTCTCAAGGGAGAAAAAACTTGTTTCAAGGGAAACAATCCTAAAGCTGATGTTTCAATAGAATTTTTCTCAAGAGAGACAAAATTTTGTTTCAAGGGAAACAGACTCAAAGATTTGTCTTAAGAAGGACTGTCTCAAGTGAGACAAAGTTTGTTTTGAAGAAAACAATCTCAAGTGAGATAAACTTTGTTTCAAGTGAAACAAACTCGAAATTTGCACCGTAAAGGAAAAATGTCTCAAGTAAGACGAAATTTGTTTTGAGAGAAATTGTCTCAAGCGAGTCAAAATTTGTTTTTATAAAACTTGTCTCAAGTGAGACAAAATTTTGTTTTGAGAAAAACACCCTCAAAGGCGATAGCTAGTCTGCTTATTCCTCCATATTGAGGAAATGTCTTCAAAAGATCTAATTGTTGACTTCAGGAAGTCAAACCTACGGATGGCATTATTCTTTCAGGTTAAAGACACCTGGTCATTTCCGAACATTGATTTCCTGAAAGATCAAAATGATGCATTTTTACTGACTATCTTGTATGTTTATGGGTGTCATGATGAAGTTTGCTTGATGTGTTATTGAATTTGTTCTCAACAGAGGGAAATTCAAAGTCTTTATTGCAAATGATGATGAATGCAAAGATGCAAATTTCATGTGTCATGTATGTAATACCCCAAATATCAGGTCATTGACTATATTGAAAAGATTTGAAATTGGAAGACTTATTTGAATAAATGGTAAAAGATAAGAAAATGATTTAAAATAGTGTTTAGGATTAAATTGTAGCAATAGATGAATATAGGGTGTATTTCATTCTTTTAAGGAGAAATGAATTTAAAATTTATCCTTATTAGGGATTTTAGGGAAAAAAAGGGGAAAGTAGAAACAAATAGAGTTATCTCTTCTCCTCTTCTTCT